ACAAATCAATTCCTTAATATATTACTATTAATTTTATTAATTAACGTGATTTTTGCTACGATAATAATTTACAAAGAGGGAGCAAAATTTAAAAGGGAAAAAAATAATATATCTCCAACAACCCCCAACCTATTTTTCCTTCTCATTAAGAAGAAAAGACAAAATATTTTTATGTCACAACCATATAATATAAATGCTAAATATGCACCACAAAAAAAAATTACTTTAATTGCACTATAAAAAAACAATTTTTTTACATTTTTTTTTTTTAAAAAAAAAAGGACCACATGTGTCCTCTCCATAAAGTATAATCATGTTCACGGGTAAAGCAAGGATCATTACGAATTACATTAATTATTTATGATTAATTGAATTTAGTTCAGAATATTTAATATTTTAAATGAAAAAAAGGTCATTTTTTCCCCAAAGCTAATGTTAATCCTCCAATCAGTTGAGTAATTATCAAATAAGATGTTTAACGGGCGATAAAGATAATTTATATAAATATTGTTTGTTATAACAAAAATTATTAAATGTCTTTATTAACTCACCATTATTAGATATTCATGAAATTATTCCCACCGTTTTAAATTACCTATTGTGTTTCTCTTTGATATATTTATGAAGAAAACACAAATTAGGAGGTAGTTTGGAAGTTTTTACTATTTTAATCTCATTGTCTTAATTAAAATATAACCTCTGCTCATTACTCGATCATCAACTTTCTCAAAATAAGGAGAGATTTGTTGTTTACTGCTCACGAAAACATCTAACATATACTATAGTTAAGCCTTTTTGGTCTTTTATCAAATTTTTAACGTTGACCTAGAGAAAAATGAGGTTGATGTTGTTGGCTAAAAACGTTGGGGGGGGGGGGGGGGGGAGCCTTAAGGTATGCTTACTTCGACATTTTCATTCCATCATATTGTACTTCTGGATCAATCCATCCTACATAGAAAAAGAAAGGGTTTGTCAAACTGCGAACCACTTTGTTGAGCAGAATATTCAAGCATTTTAGAAAAAGGATGGAAACTTGTCAACTAATTGTGAAAGCACCCTTTGTTACTATTGGACAAATTTCTCCTTTAGTTTCTTCTTGTTATTTGTCATAACACTCATTCTAGAACTAGTTGAAAGAAGACATTCCTAATTCTTATCCGGATTATGTTATTGAGGTGGCTGTTGTCTTCAAGAATAAATACTACAAGGGATAAAACGAAGGGAAAACTTATCTTAAACTTGTAAGATAACAAATACTTCCTTTGTTTCATATAAGTTGCATGTTTTTTCATCTACACGTCTTAAGCAATCATAAATAAGAAGGATAATTTTACTAATTTAACCTTTAAAAACTTTTTTGGACCTTTACAATCTTGTTTACACTTTCAAAAAGAATTAATTGTGTGAAGATAAAAATGAGAAAATGTAATTAATTTTATCTTGATTTTGTAAATTGACAAGTAATACGAAAAATGTTTCTTAATAAGATGAACTTTTAATATAAGATACAAAGAATAATTTAGAAATAGATATTTTTTAAAATTACGATAAATAATTTAAGACGGACGAAGTACTTTAAAATTGTGGCAGGTCAGACATAACTATACACTATACAGTACAACCTACACTAGAAATTATATCACACCAACTAAATATTAAATATGTTTTCAAATGATTTACACTATATTTGGATCATTGTTATCCATTATTTCATAATATATTGTATTGTATTGTATTGTATTGTATTGGACTGGACTGTATGGTAGATACAATGTTTGGCTAGACTGTATTGTTTGTTGTTGTTTAAGGAGTAACATTTTTATTGTTTGGTTTGATTGTATTGTACTGTATTGTAATTTATAAATTTACTAAAATATCCTTAAACATTCTAGTGTAGGAGGTTTGACTAGAATTAAATAATATATGGTAAAAGGGTAAAATAGTATTATAAAATATTAAATAAGGATATAATTGAAAAAATAAATTAAGTAACAATAGAAACATACCAAATTGGTTGTGTCCATAAAATGTGGGTTTTCATTGTTATGTAACAACGAAGTTTAATAATACAATACATTTTAAGTAATAATCAAAACAAACATTGTAGTTATGATAACGATACAGTACAATATAATGAGTAACAATGATCCAAACAGAGTGTTAAGATTATGTTTGCCATTTATTGATATTAATTAATTAATTACTAACTCCTAACTAGGTTAGTACTCCCACTTTGACTATTCGACCTATTATGTTTTTTTTTTTAAAATATATATATTCCTAGTATAATCTACTTGCTAAAAGAAAATTGACCATTGTTATATGGTCCAAAATATGAATTGAATGTATTTAAACGATGTACAAATACTTTTATAATGATTATGTTTTGTGTTATATAAAAATATTTACATTCATACTTCTTCCGAGACATGCATAATGTTTAGTAGATACTTGTACAGATTACTATTTAGAAATATGATCGGATGAATGAGATTTCTTTACACTTGATAAAAAAATTCGAGTTTAAGCCAGAAGAATTAAAAAAATTCAAGTCAGGAGCACTTTCTCCTTAATTGGGCATTTGGATATTGAGCGATGTGAATATAATTTAATCAGACCAATAAATTATAGATACCAGATGGTTTGACAAAAAACAATCTTTATGCGTAAAAGAGGCATACATGCTACTTATGAGTTCATCAGAGTTTAGTAGCTTTAGCCTAGATCTTATATTTGTATTAAAAAATTTACTACATATCCTTAAATATTTATCTGTGAACACAATTATTATTGTATTCTTTTAGTTTAATAACCGTGGTGTCCGAAACAACTTGCATACACCTCAACTAATTCCACAGAATACCTATCATCTTTCACTGTACAAGTTAATACTATTGTATATTAACTTGAACCCGCTTTTAGGAACTCACAACTTCAAATTATGAATCTGCCTCTGCCCACAAAATAAAGTTATACTATAAAATTTTGAAAAGAGGATAAAACAGTCCTGATGTAACATAAGAAACTAGAACTAGAGAAAACTAAACCCAAGATCTTTACCAAGTACTTGCTATTACACAACTTTGCTAACTCAGACCTCAGTGATGCATTAAAAGAAAAAGATTTTCAATGAAAATGATAAATGATGTTTGTCTCAATCACAGCCTCTAATTCAGCTGAGAAAAGAGATGGGGGCTTAAAAGTACAGGACTGTTGGGTGCTCAAATCAACAACAACATATCGAGTATAATCCCACAAGTAGGGTTTGGAGATGGTTGTGTGTACGTAACGTTGCCCCTGCCTTCTATCTTTGTAAAGGTAGAGAGATTGTTTCTGATAGACCTCAGCTCAAGTGAAGCATATCAAAAACAAGTACGGAAAGGAAATACAGTAGTAAAGAAGTCATGCTAAAAGTAGGTGCTCAGATGAACCTGGAGCATAAATTGTTCAAGCAATAATATCAAAAGTATTGACATGAAAATGTTGTTGTTTCTATATGTGAAGAAAAATGGATCTCTATTCAATTCAAATAACTATATAAATGTTTTTTTTCAACATAAACATAATATATCTGTACTTGCTTTGTTATTAAGCTTGTTCATTTATTGCAAGCGCAGTCGAATACAGTAAAAGGACATACTTCTGCTTGAATTGAGGCATCTATTCATGGTTGTTGTTGGTTCTTGTAGATAGTTGTTGCTCTTCAATTGAATTTAGCAAATGTCCTTTACTGCTTGAACATCATTTTGTATTGTTGTACCCCGACCTTGTTCCTTAGTAGAGCTGCAACTTTCCGTGTTTGATGTATGACGAGCTTTTCAGTTCTCTGTTCCGCCTTGGTCATGATTCAAAATCTGTGACAAGGGAAATGGACAACAAATTAGGTGTGCAGATTCCTTACGAAACCATTGTAGGAAATAAATGAGAAATACATAACTCGCTGAAGAAACACACCATAACAAAGAAATGACTACTATGCGAGAAGCCTGTCCACTTGGTTAAGTTTGTTCAATTGCATACTGAATGATGAAGAAAACCAACGCACCGCAAGGCATAGACACTGTCAATTGGATTCTTTACTTAGGGTGGGGGAACTACTCTTAGGAGAAACTAATGCACCAGCTTCATAGGATTACATGTCGTGACCAGCAGTATCCTTGTTATATTCAGTCGCATACTTCTCAAGATATAAAAATCCATTATACGCTAAAAAGTTCATGGCTGTTACAAGCAGAAACCATACAAAAGCAAATGCAATACTGTCTGTTTTGAATGCTTACCAATTTCAAGAAATTTATGAAACACCTATCCGAGAAGGTTCTCAAGAATTTTTCCAGCATCACATATGCAGTTAAAAGTGTTGAAGTTATTAACACTGATGAGAATTACCTCACGTTCTAATGTCAGGTTCAAGTAATCCATTTCTTGCATTCTTTTTTCCTTATATCGAGTCAAAAATTGGAAAGACTGAGGCTTTTTCTGATGTCTGAGTTCAGAACAACATTCTTCTAAATGAAGAATATGTAAGTTGGCAATGATCCCTTAATTCAACTAACAAGAATTAACAGTTATGAATCCTAATGCTACAGCGTATCTTCTACTTCAAACCGTCAATGAAGCACTACTAATAATACTAGTGAACACCAGGATTCTACATCAGACAACAGTAACTAGATAAATTTATCAGCAATACGACGTCAATGTAATGTTTTCACATTAAGAACATTACTTAGATGACAGCTTTCTAACTTTTGAAATCTGAGCCAGCAATTATACTTCTTAGTCTGTTATAACATTTTACTCTTATAAAAGAAATCAAATGAAAAGAACATATAAAAGTTTTAGCCAAAGAGTTATGAGAAATACTAAAATAAGAAGACATAGACATGACAGTAAGTTCCCAGATTCTTACTCGTCGGACCTAATTCATGAAAGCTCTGGAGGCAATTAGGCACAAGGTTAATTTTCTCATTTTTCATTTAGTATGTTGCATAGCTGTTGGGGCTCAATCTGCACCAATTCCTTTGCACTCATTTTGATCTGAGAATTCTGAGCTAACAACTTTCCGCATTGTAAACCTCAACGCTAGGAAAGCCTTATGAGGATGGTGGAATCACCAGTTCATATCTCCTTCTTATAAGAATGAAGCTGAAGACAATAATCAGTTGCTGCATCAATCATGTCCTGAATAAAGTACAGCGTAAAAATGATTGCTCAGAAGTCCAAAGTGGAGAACTTCATTGTCAGAGAATTAACTATGCATCATAAAGTAACAAAAAATCAAAAGTACCTGAACGAGAGTCCAGCTTCCACCAAGCATGAGCATCTTCCTTCAAGATGGAAGCACCAACATCCTCTTTATCATCTTCCCCAGAAAAGATTCCATCAGAATCATCACTCTCAACTTCAGAGTAATACAACTTTTTCTCTACCTCAGGATCATATGTCCACTCCAATCTTTTCAAAACATCTCGGTCCTTCCATCGTCCAACAACAGAGACAGCTTCTTTCTTGGCCTTTCCTATCATAATCTCTTGCCATGAGAAAGCAGCATCCGCTGTCCTCTTAAGAGCCCCATCATTACTATCACCAACAACCACTGTCTTCAAACACCTCAACCGTGCCTCCTTCAACACTTCCACAAAATCAGAATCATCAGACACAAGAACCACATAATCCACCATCCTCTTATCCATTACATCAACCAAATGATTCCTCAACGCAACATCAGCAGCCTGTGGCTTATCCGAGACAGTCCTAACCCAAAAACCTGCCCGTTTCAAATCATCCGCCAAACCATACCCAACTTTCGGGGTCAAAACATCCCTAACAGCACCTTTATACTTATCCATCTTCATTGCATACTTAGCCACCAACTTCACCCTCATTTTCCCTCTAGCAGACTCAATCTGATTCAACCTTTTCGTCTGCTCACGTTCGTGAATTTGCTTAAAATGATTCACAAGCTTCTCATTAGTATAAAATCTCCTCCCACACACTCTACATATATAAGGATCCTCAACCTTAACAACCCCACTTTTCTCCAACAAATTCAATGTTTTCCGCTCTTTCCTTTGCTGCCTAACTAAAGGAGGAACATAACTAAAGGCATGTCGATTAGCATAAGCTACTGTAAATCTCACAACCCCAAATTGTCCAGCTGCCTTTTTGAGCTTAGTGGCAGCATCAAATGGTGGAAATGACTTAGGTGGTTTGTTATCTAAATCCCAGAAAATTCCAACACTAGCTCTAACTGGTCTGTCTAAAGAACCAAAACCCAGATGGGATTTGGATTCAAAGTGACAAAATCTTTTATAGGAACGAATAGCATGTATAAAGGAGCTTACTTTGACACAGTTCATCGTTCTTTTAGGAAAAGAATCGAAATTGAGAGTTTCTTGATGGTATAGAGGCAAAAAGATTACAAACCCAATTAAGTAAATTCAATTAATTCCACAAAATATCATCGGAAAAAGAAGGGGTTTAGGTTTCCGGTACCTAAAATGCTTGATTTCGCCGGAGACGATGGCTCTGCTCCCAAGAAACTTGGGACTCCACCATCCGTGTAGTATCTGTTTTCCCTAATTTGGAAAGGCTAATTTTACTAATTTACCCTTTAAAAATATTTTTGTTTATAAAATTGGTTACACTTTAAAATTATAAAAATATTAATTGATTTTGTCTTAATTTAATAAATTAACAAATAATTTCAGATAATTAATTTTAATAATATAGACAACTTATATGAAACGAAAGGAAAAAAAATCTCAAAATGATCCTTTCATCTTTAGGCTAATACTTTAATTTATGCCTCTCTTCTTTTTTTTTATGAAGCACTAATAATCACCATGTTTGATATTGGTGCATTTTCGATCTTCCTCTAAAGGTTTAACTATTTTTTAATTTGGTTTTGTCTATATTTAATGTATGAAATATTTAATCGTTTGTCTTTATATTCAGTAGAAACAATAACTCATGTGAAGGTGAGAATAATAATGTTTTTGTTATAACTAAGGAAAGAAAATTTTGTATTATTGTACGTGATATATGATGTGATGAATCTCTTGATGTCAAATAATGACGAAAGTTTGAGGGTAGACCAAAAGTGCATCAATACCATGCACATAAAAGAAAACTATCGTTTCACGTAACGAAAAAAAGTATGATTATGAGTCTAAACTCAAAAACAAGAGACTATTTTGCAATCACAACACAATATTTTCTTTTAAATATATATAAGCCGATTGTACTTGTAATGGTTCTCAAGGATCCAATATGACCACTTAGGTCTGAAAAATTCTTCAATGTATAAATACATAATTTGTATATACTTACCTTATTTGTATATTCGCAAGCTAAATATATAAATGGGCAGAAATATACAACCGCAGCCTCCATAGAAAACGAAACTATAGCTATGAAGCACGATTATCAAAATATAGTTGTAGAGCTTTATTATATCTATTATGTTTGCTATTTCTAAAATTTTCTCTCAGTTCAATTTTTTGGGTCGTATATGAAATGTAAGCCTTGTTTTAATATTTGGGCTTTGTAACTTTACAAAGGTAGGAATAGCACCAAATAATTGCTTACAATAGCACTATTTAAAATATAACCCGTTTCTAATACTATTATTTATAATTTAACCGATTTATTTTTCTTCCTCTTTGCAATGTTATGCAAAAATTTCTATCATCTTAAAGGTGGAATACCACATTAGGAGTGTTGAATGGATTGAATTAGAAGGATCAAAATGATCCGAGTTAATAAATGACTCATCCAAAAATTATTTGAACTAAAATATGCTGAAAAATGGATCATAACCCATAATTATCAAAACAATATAAATGAAGTATTCAAAAGTTTAGTTTCGAAATTTTTCATTGAAAATCTCCATCATGCCAAGCGAGTTTATTGTCGCAGTGGTGTTTTTAAAAGGTGAGAAACAATACCACTAATGTCAAACATAAGTCACAACGCACAATCGATTATCATATATAAAATGAGACTTTTAATTAATACATAACAACGATTTTGTCGATACAATACAAGTTACACTCGTAATCAAATTTCAATTGTCAATTTACCTCATTTATGACCTAATTATGTATACCGTCAAAGAATAAAAAGAGTTAAAAAATAAAACTTAAACCAAATAATAAGTCCAAAGTAAACAACCACCAAATGAGATGAAGTTGGTGATACATATTCGTTGACTACAAAAGGTTTTGGTTCAAGTTGATTTTTAGTACTCTCTCCCTTTCAATTACGAATTTATTCGTCTGATTTCAACTTGACATGAAAATTGATAAAGTAAAAAAACGTTTAAATTTTATATTCTTAAATCAAAGCTATGTAAAATATACTAGAATGCTCTTTAATTTTGTGATCTTAAACATGTGACGTAAAAAGTTAAAATTTAAATATTATATAAAAAATATACTCCTTTTAAAACGAATTAAAAATAAAGGTAGGATAAACAAATCACGATTTGAATCAACTGTGTGAATATGACCTTTTTAGGTTAACAACTTGAATAAGAAAATTAAAAAGGTTATTGTGTATCATGTTCTTGACTTTTTTAGTGTTTGACTTCAATATAATACTCGAAACCATTTTCATATCTCTGTTTGACCTCTACTACTGTTTCTAAGGACATTTGAAACGTGAGATAGGGATAATAATTTTGAGATAAAAATTTAATTTGATTTAACGTATTAGTTTAATTCGAGATTATATATTTCAATATCTATATTAAATTAGTGTGATAATTACTATCTCATATAAAAAAGTATGACAAAATAATCTCATTAAATATTATTCTTTATCTCATTCCATGTATTACACAACCCCTTAATTTGTCTGATTTGAAAATAAGTTATGCAAATAATATCATATTATAAATAAGGAAAAAATTAGTTATGAAGGAATTGTATTATATTTATCATAAGATTATTTTTTATTAAATATTTAGTTTGACTTGAATATTATATTTATGATAAGCTCGTGAACTGCAAAAAGGGAAAGATCTTTATTGTGAGTTACGAGTACTCACACTTAAATGATAGTATAAATAGGGGCGTATTCAACAGGTTCTGAGTTTACGTGAATTTATACTCTTTCTTCTAAGATCATAAGTATATAGTAGTGTTATATTTTTTAGAAAATATTAAAATATAGTTATGTGAACCCACATTGTAATGTGATAATGACGCGGGGTGCACCTCTCTACGTGAAGTTAGAAATTTGAATTTTATATTTATCTTGTTTAATTTTTCTTTCTAAAATTAAATAATACCTCTCTTAGTGGTTATTGGTAGCACTTTTGACATTTTAATTAATTCATATATATATATATTAAAATTTTAATGGTTTTCAATAATAAGAACTTAAATGTCGAATTGATCAAATTTATATCTTAGATCAATCTTTTTGTAATATGCACCCATCATCTTGAAATCCTAGATACACTAATAAATAATTATTCACCTGCAACCATAATTTCATATACCCTTCTTCCTTCCATTTTGGTTGATCCTATTCTTTTTATTAGTCAATTTAAAAAATATCATATTTCTATTTATATATTTTTCTTATTTGAAGTTATTATAGTCACATAAAAATTATGACATATTTAAAATTATAAATTTCAAAATCATAGAGCTATTATGATACATCTATAACTACAAATTTCAGATATAGTCATATAAATATTATGATATATTATATAGATGCGTACAATATGGAGTAAAACTAGTTGGTCGAAGGATATATATCTGAAGCTTTGTGTGTATGTGTGAGAAAATTGTTAGGTTTCAAGCCATTAACATTGCCTTGTAAGGAATTCTTGTGTATCATCTATTATGGTCAAAGATTGAAACTTTGCCTCATGTGATATTTGCAGTGTATTTCCATTAATGTATATACTTTCTTCCCTCGTGGAGCATGGAACACTAATAATTTCAATTTTCAATCGTGAATATTGAAGCTAGACTATTTTTTTTTATTGTATTGGTTATTTAGTCGGTAATAGTAAAAATAATAATTAGTACAAATTATATTTTATAACACAAATTTTTTATTTATTCGACATATAAGAACCTCTATTTTTAGTAGCTTAAAAAAAAATCACACAATCAAAGACATTTCAAAATAATTAGTAATCGATAAACCTGATGTATTTTAAATTTATTCAAAAGGTAGCATATTCACTTGTATAGATTAAACTACCCTCTTTTACAGTGAGATTATTTTTTTTTGAAGATAATGTCAATATATATGATACAATGTCAAATATGATTACATGAGTTAAATGTGGACCCTTTTTATGTTGACACGTAACTCAAAGATTAGGCACAAATTAAAGATTTAATTAATTTCAATAAAAAGGTAATGTGTTGTCAATCGTGGGTACTTGACTAAAAATCTAATAATTTTTCAATGTACCTAATATTCTACAAAACCACAATTAATTCAGATATATTCAATTGAAGAGGATGACCGCCAAGCTAAAATTGCCAAACAAATAAGCCAAATACTATACTATTAAAATTAACTAATTAATAAGACTTGTTCAATTCTTTACTTGTTATCTATGACATACTCCAACAAGTATAATACATACTACTCCCTCCGTTTTTTAAAAAAATAATCTAATTTTTTTTAGTCTATTTTAAAAAAGAATGATCTTTTTTCTTTTTTGACAATATTTTAACTTCAATTTTCCACGTGGCATGTTTAAGGCTACAAAATTAAAGGATATTTCGGTACATTTGACATAACTTTAATTAAGAACAAGTCTTGCTCCTATTTTTTTTCTTAAATTCCGTTTTAAGTCAAATTAGGTCATTCTTTTTTAAAAACGGAGGGAGTAACTTTTAGTACCATTTTTTATGTCCCATTTAATTATGTGAACGTACGAGTGCTATTTCCCGCTACATTCCCCCATGTCATGATGACCACTTTTAGGTTTAATTTTAGCTCATCTATACCGCCGTCGGACGCGATGCCCTATCTTATTATCACCCGCCGTTCTTTTTTTTCTCCCGGCTATTCATACATGAAACTTATTGTATGTTTGCTAATTATTATCGTATATTAACTTCAGATCGTTGTAGAAACTTATAAACTTTAAATTTTGAATTTGCCTCTAAGTATATATATTATGGCAGGATTCGTCACTCGAGCAAATAATCCTCCTCCAAAAGAAATCCTTTATATAGATCAAGTAAAATAGTTGTTTGGTGATTTCTAAGTTGCATTCACATTTCCTTTAATTAGCTTTTTAAAAAAAATGAATGGTGTGAACTTGAAAATATTTAAAGAAAATCATATCGAATAACATAATCAAGTATTAGATATTTAAAAATAAATTTTCAAAATCTATGATCAAACGTCAGCTACA